TCTTTTTCTAATTTTCCCAGTAAAAATTTTCTAAGGAATTGTTTTACTTACTCGCTGTAGTCTGGCTTCCACGGCAAATATTTCTTAAAAATCCTCCTTATCAGAGTCACTTTTTCTCATCTTAAGCTTTCAGCAACATTTGACATAGTTGAGAATTCTCTTGCCTTGGCCTTTACCATACATTATGCTGTTTTATTTCCAGATAGGTTAACCATTGCTAATATTCCATCACCTAGAAATAAAAGATTTATAGATTTTACCCTCTGCCATCCTGATCTATTTCACTTAAACAACTACTATCATTCACTTGAAATAGACATCAAGTTAGTAAATCAGCCTTCTCAAACATCAGTGTAATCACAGCTTCTTCAAATGTTCATTTTTCTTGTTTTGTTTTTGTTTTTAATTCTCACCTGAGGACATCTTTGCATCTATCTTCAGACAGAGTGGGAGGGAGAGAGGGAGAAAGAGAGAGAGAGAAACATTGATGTGAGAGAGACACCTTGAGTGGTTGCCACCCACACGACCTCAACTGGGGTCGGGGACAAACTGCAACTGAAGTGAAGTACCTGCCCTTAGCGGGAACCGAATCCAGGACTCTGGTCCGAGGGCCCACTCTAACCCCTGAGCCAAATCAACAGAACTCAAATGTCTATTTTTCATTTTTATTTTTTTTACCACCTTAATTTGCAAGCCATAACTGCTACTTTTAAAAAATCTATTAAAACTCTAATGTTTTCTAATAATTCTGATAAAGAACAGAAAAAAATGGTAAAATCTCAACTATTACATCATTTTTTTAATTTTTAAAATTAATTTATTTTTGTTACAGATGTTTCTTCTTTTTTCCCCATTGACACCCTCCTCCTGATTGTGTCTTTCACCCCCTTCTTAGCATTATTGTCTATGTCCATGGTTACATACACATGCATATAAGTTCTGTGGTTTATCACTTTCCTCACTCCCGACATCCTCCTTTGAGATTTGTCAGTCTGTAACCTACTTCTATGTCTCTAGGTCTATTTTGTTCATCAGCTTGTTTTGTACATTATATTCCACACATAAGTGAGATCATGTGATATTTGTTTGTCTCTGATTGGCTTGTTTCACTTTCTCCCGGTCCCTCTATGTCATTTCAAAAGATAAGAGATCTTTATTTCTTACATCTGCATAGTACTCCATTGTGTACATGCATCACAGCTTTTTTATCCACTCATCTATTGATGGACACTTGGGTTGTTTCCAGATCTTAGCTAATGTAAATAGTGCTGATATAAACATAAAGGTACATATATTTTTCTGATTGGTGTTTCAGGCTTCTTAGGGTATATTTAGAAGTGGGGTCACTGGATCAAATGGAGATCAATTTTTAATTTTTTGAGGAAACACCATAGTATTTTCCATAGTGGTTTTACCAGTCTGCATTTCAACCAGCAGTGTATTAGATTCCCCTTTTTTCCACACCCTCGGCAGCACTTGTTTGATAATTTGTTGATGGCAGCTCTTCTGACAAATATGAGGTGATACCTCATTGTTGTTTCAACTTGCATCTCTCTGATGATAAGTAACATTGAGCTTTTTTTTTTCATGTCTCTTGGCCATTTGTATGTCCTGTTTGAAGAGGTGTCTCTTTAAGTCCTTTGTCTATTTTTAATTAGATTATTTGTCTTTCTTTTGTTGAGTTGTGTGAGTACTCTATAGATTTTGGAAATTAACTCCTTATCTGATGTATCATTGGCAATTATGCTCTCCACATAGTGGGTTCCCTTTTTATTTTCATGCTTGTTTCTTTTGCTGTGCAGAAGCTTTTGAGTTTGATGTAGTCCCATGTGTTCATTTTTTCCTTTGTTTCTCTTGCTTTAGGTATTGTATCATTGAAAATTCTGCTGCGTGTGACATCTGAAATTTGTTGCCTGCATTATCTTCCAGGATTTTTATAGATTTGTAGGTCAAATTTAAGCCTTTTATCTATTTTGAATTTATTCTTGTATATGGTGTAAATTGGTGATCTAGCTTTATTTTTTTGCATGTAGCTGTTCAATTTTCCCAACACAATTTATTGAAGAAGCTGTCTTGACTTCCTGGTATTGCCAACTTTATCAAATATTAATTAAGCATAATGACGTGAGTCAATTGCTGAGTTCTCTGTTTTATTTCACTGACCTATCTGCCTGTGCTTGTGCCAGTACCAGGCTGTTTTTATTACTATGGCTTTGTAGTATAACCTGATATCCGATATTGTGATCCCTCCTAATTTGTTCTTCTTTTTCAAGATTGCTGTAGCTATTCAGGGTCTTTTTTGGTTCCCTAAAAATTTTGGAGCATTTGTTCTAGTTCTGTGAAATATGTTTTTAGAGTTTTATTGGAGATTATATTGAATCTATAGATTGCTTTGGGTACTAGGGACATTTTAATGATGTTAATTCTTTCAATCTATGATCAATTATATGCTTCCATTCTTTTTATTTATTTATTTTTTGGTTCAGATACAGTGGTAGGGTGAGAGAGAGAGAGAGAGAGAGAGAGAGAGAGAGAGAGAGAGAGAGAGAGAGAAACATTGACATGAAAGGGACACATCAAGTGGTTGCCACCCACATGACCCAACCAGGGCCGGGGGCAAACTGCAACCAAGGTACATGCCCTTAGCAGGAACCAAACCCGGTCTCTCTGGACCACAGGCCGATGCTCTAATCACTGAGCAAAACCGGCCAGGGCTGCTTCCACTTTTTTATATCTTCCTCAATTGTTTCTTTTCAGTGACCCATAATTTTCTGCAAATAGGTTCTTTACTTCTTTGGCTAAGTTTTTTTCTAGGTGTCTTAATTTTTTTTTTTTTTGCTGCAATGGTAAATGGGGTTGCTTTATTAGTTTCTTTTTCATTGAGTTTGTTGTTGGTGTACAAGAGTGCTGCCCATTTATTGACATCAATTTTGTATCCTGCTACTTTGCCAAATTCATTTATTAAATTTACTAATTTTTTTTTGAATCTTTAGGGTTTTCCATGTACAGTATCATGTCACCTGCAAATAATGACAGTTTCACTTCCTCCTTTCCAGTATGGATTCCTTTTATGTTTTCTTCATGTCTAATAGCTGTGGCTAAGACTTCCAGTGCTATGTTAAATAAAAGTGAGAGTGGGAATCCCTGTCTGGTTTTTGTTCTTAAGGGAAATGTGTGTAAAATGCGTCTAGTTTTTGCCCACTGAGTATGATATTGGCTGTAGGTTTTTCATATATTGCCTTTATTATGTCAAGATATGATCCCTCTATTCCCACATGGCTGATTGTTTTTATAAAAATGGGTGCTGGCTTTGTTGAATGCTTTTCTGGCATCTATTTATATGATCATATATTTTTTAGCTTTCATTTTGTTTATGTGGTATATCACATTTATTGATTTGCAGATATTGTACCATCCATGCATCCCTGGGATGACTCCCACTTGGCCATAATGAATAATTTTTTTATGTATTGCTGGATTGTATTTGCTAATATTTTGCTAAAAATTTTGGCATCTGTGTTCATCAGGACTATTGGCCTGTAGTTTTCTTTGTAGTATCTTTATCTGTTTTTGGATTTAGAATTATGTTGGCCTCATAAAATGAGTTTGGAAGTCTTCTGTCTTTTTGGATTTGGGGGGATAGTATAAGAAGAATGGGTCTTAGATCTTCTTTGAATGTTCAGTAAAACTCCCCCATGAAGCCATCCAGGTCTAGGCTTTTGTTTGCTGGGAGTTTCTTGATTACATCTTCAATTTCCTTAGATGTTACTGGTCTATTCATGTTTTCTATCACTTCCCAGTTCATTTTTAGGAGACTGCGTATCTAGAAATGTGTCCATTTTTTCTAGATTGTCTTATTTGTTGGCATATAATTGTTCATAGTATGTTTTAATGATATTTTGTATTTCTGCAGTGCCAGTTGTTACTTCTCTTTCCATTTCTGATTTTGTTTATCTGGGTCTTCTCTTTTTGTTTCCTGGTGAGACTGGCTAAGTGTCCATCAATCTTGCTTATCTTTTCAAAGAACCAGCTCCTTGATTCATTGACCTTTGAATTGCTTTTTATTTTTTATTTATTTAAAAATCTATTTTATTATTATTATTATTATTTTACTTATAATTTTGTTTATTTATTTTAATTTTTTTATCCTCACCCGAGGACATTTTTCCATTTTTTTGTTCAGATAGAGTGGGAGGGAGAGAGAGGAGGAGAGAGAGAAACATCGATGTGAAAGGGACACATCGAGTGGCTGCCACCCGCACGACCCAACCAGGGCCGGGGACAAACTGCAACCGAGGTACACGCCCTTAGCAGGAACCGAACCTGGGTCTCTCTGGACTGCAGGCCAACGCTCTAACCGCTGAGCCAAACCGGCCAGGGCTAATTTTGTTTTTTGCTTTTCTAGTCTTCCGCCAATGGTCCCAGCAGTGAGCAGTAGATAACAACAACCAAAATATGCTGTCAACCTTACAGTATGTAACATCTCAAATAAAATAAAAAAGGGGGAAATGTAGATTGTATGTGAGTTTATTCTGCACACGGATGGACTCACACAAGGGTTAACAAGGACATTCTGCACACAGATGCCTTGGAGTGCTGCTCAATCCTTAAGAACAATTCAGAGCGAGGTCCTGCACACAGGCTCGCTCCTCCTTGCCTGCAAACAGGAAGGATGAGATATTCTTAAGAGCAGCACTGACCTTTGAGCAGGGGAAATAGATCAGTTATCTTGATAGGAACTGGGACCATGGCAACCCCTTTGGCTATAAAAATAAACAGCTGCAGGACTTCGGGGCTGCAGTCTTGTCTGTCTTTGTGTGTGTTTGTGTTTTTTTGTTCATTTTGCAGATCCTCACAGCAACAGCTGAAAACACAATGATACATTAGTGTTCATCCAACTAAAGATTAGTGCATTAAAAAAAAAAGTTAAGAAAAAATCTTCCACGTTCCAGTTCAGCTGCACTTAATTCAAGTGTTGCTCCTAGAGGTTTGTGTTGTTATAAATTAAACATGCTGCTGCCTCAGCAGCCGAAGGTACTAGGAAAAAATGTTCATGTCACAGAATAAATAGAGCAGTCTCTTTCGAGTAAAAAAGTTATCTCACACCAATTCTGGAGGTCATCCACTCTAGACCTTGGCCTAACCCTTCTCCTGTTAAAGCACAGCAGGACTGAATGTGCCATGGATGATCCTTAATTGAACTAAGGGTGAGGTATTTGGAGATTTCAGCTGCTGTCATACACCCTTTCATATCCTGTTTATTTGCAAAGATAAGGACTGCAGACTTCCGTAAATCCTCATGAGCCAACATTCTGTATAATTCTTCTTTCGTAATAGCTAGTCATTCCCTGTCAATGCTATCAACAAGAATGATGAACTCTGTATTTGAGTAATACGTGTTCCAGGACGACCGGAGTGACTCTTGACCACCAATATCCCACATAAGAAAATGAGTATTCTTCACAACTATTTCTTCAACATTGCTTCCTATGGTTGGAGATGTATGAACCACTTCGTTCATTAAGAATTGATAAAGAATGGTAGTTTTCCCTGCATTATCCAGTCCCACTATAATCACTTTGTGTTCTATTGTCGCCTCTTTTTTTGTCTGGGTATTTTCTCTTTTCAGAGAACATCACATTTCATTCTGTGACTCAGAACAGGTTTTACAACTTCTTGGCCCTTTGGACTAGCAACTTCTAGATGTCTCATAACCAGTTCTAGACTAATTACAGACACGGGAGATCCCACCTTGGTTACAGAAGAGGCTCCACAGTTTAGCGAAGATCAGCCCCATCATGAGCACCTGGGCCGGCCGCAGGGGTCCCTGAGCAGCAGTTGCCACTGCGCCAGGCCCCCCACCGCGGCGTGGGAAGGGCACTGGCAAGGGGATGCGTCAATGGGCCGCTCGGCCAACCTTATTATTATTTTTTAATTTTAATTTTATTTTTGTTACAGATGTTTCTCCTTTTTTACCCCGTTGACACCCTCCTTCCTACCCCGCCCCCCACCCATCCCTGGCTTTGTTGTCCATGTCCATTGGTTATGCTACATGCATATAAGTTCTGTGTAATTGCTTTTTAGTGTCTATGTCATATGTTTCTGTTCTGATCTTCACTATTCCTTTCCTTCTACCTACCATAGGTTTTTCTTTTTATTCACTTTCTTGTTCCTTAAGTTGTAGGGTTAGACAGTCAATTAGGATTTTTTTTTTCTTGAGGTCAGCCTGCAGTGCTATGAACTTTCCTCTCATTACTGCATTCACTGAGTCTCATAGATTTTGTGGTGTTGTGTGTTTGTTTTTATTGGTTACCAAAAAGTTTTAAATTTCTTTCTTAAGCTTTTGATAGCCCCTTTTATTGTTTAATAACATGCTATTTAACCTCCATGTGTTTGATGTTTTTGTTGTAATTGATTTCTAGTTTCATGCCATTGTAATCTGAGAAGATGTTTGATCTGATTTCAATCTTCTTGAATTTGTAGAGACTTACTTTGCATCCTAACATATGGTCTATCTTTGATAATGAGAGGAATATATACTCTGAAGCTTTGGGGTGAAGTGTTCTGTAAATATTAATTAATTCCAACTGATCTAGTGCATCATTTAAGGACTCTGCATCTATTTTAATTTTTTATTCAGAAGATCTATCCAGTGGTGTCAGTGGGGTGTTAAAGTCACCCACTATGATTGTATTGCTATTGATCTCTCCCTTGAAGTCCCTCAGAAGTTTTAAAAAATATTTCGGTTCTCCTGTGTTCAGTGCATATATGTTTACTAGGGTTATATCCTCTTGCTGGGTTGTTCCTTTTAATATTTTGTAGTGACCTTCTTTGTCTCTTATTATGGCCTTCGTTTTGAAGTTTATCTGATCAGATATAAGTATTGCTACACCAGCTTTTTAAAAAAATTATTTCCATTTGCTTGGAAATGTTTTTTGCATCCCTCCACTTACATCCTGTGTGAGTCTTTTGTTGTGAGGCGGGTCTCTTGTAGACATATATATTTGTGTTTTCTTATCCTATCTGTTACCCTATGTTTTTGATTGAAGCATTTAAGACATTTACTTTTAATGTTAATATTCATAGATACTTATTAGTTGCCATTTTTATTTTATGTCTGTGTTCCTCTTTATCTCTCTGTTTCTGCTCCTTCTTACAACAGTTCTTTTAGCAATTTTTGTGGTGTTTATTTGGTGGTGGACAGTTTCTTTAGCTTTTCTTTGTCTGTGAACCTCTTTATTTCTCCTTCAAGTTTAAATGATAACCTTGCTGGATAGAGTGGTCTGGGATTCAGCCTCTTGTCTTTCATTAATTTGTTTTTTTTTTTAATTTTATTTTTATTTTTTTGTTACAGATATTTCTCCTTTTTTACCCCATTGGCACCCCCCTCCCCACCCCACCCCCATCCCATCCCTGGCTTAGCTGTCCATGTCTGCTGGTCATGCATACATGCATGTAAGTTCTGTGGTTTATCTCTTCCCACCCCACCCCCCACCCCCTCTTCTAAGGGATGTCAGTCTGTACCCTACATCCATGTTTCTGGGTCTACCATATTCCTCAGACAGTTATGTTCATTATATTCCGTATATAAGTGAGATCATGTGGTATTTGTCTTTTTCTGCTTGGCTTATTTCACTTACAATAATACTTTCCAGGTCCCTCCATGTCGTCTCAAAGAATAAGAGATCTTTCTTTTTTACCGCTGCATAGTAGTCCATTGTGTATATGTACCACAGCTTTTTAATCCATTCGTCTACTGATGGACACTTGGGCTGTTTCCAGATCTTACCTATTGTAAATAGTGCTGCTATGAACATGGGGGTACATATATCCTTCCTGATTGGTGTTTCAGGCTTCTTAGGGTATATTCCTAGAATGGGATCACTGGGTCAAATGGAAGTTCCATTTTTAATTTTTTGAGGTAACACCATATTGTTTTCCATAGTGGCTGCACCAGTCTGCATTCCCACCAGCAGTGTATTAGACTCCCCTTTTCTCCACACCCTCGCCAACACTTGTTGTTTGATGATTTGTTGATGGCGGCCATTCTAACAGGTGTGAGGTGATACCTCATTGTTGTTTTAATTTGCATCTCTGTGATGATTAGTGATGTTGAGCATTTCTTCATATGTCTCTTGGCCATTTGTATGTCCTGTTTGGAGAGGTGTCTATTCAGCTCCTCTGCCCATTTTTTAATTGGATTCTTTGACTTCCTTTTGTGGAGTTGTATGAGCACTCTCTATATATTGGAAATTAACCCCTTATCTGATACATCATTGGCAATGATGTTCTCCCATACAGTGGGTTCCCTTTCCATTTTGATGATTGTTTCCTTTGCTGTGCAGAAGCTTTTTAGTTTGATGTAGTCCCATGTGTTCATTTTCTCCTTTGTTTCTGTTGCCTTAGGTGATGTATCAGTGAAAATTCTGCTCCATATGATGTCCAAAATTTTGTTGCCTACATTTTCTTCTAGAATTTTTATGGATTCACGGGTCACATTTAAGTCTTTTATCCATTTCGAGTTTATTTTTGTGTATGGTGTAAGTTGATGGTCTAGTTTCATTTTTTTGCATGTAGCTGTCCAATTTTCGCAACACCATTTATTAAAGAGGCTGTCTTTACTCCACTGTATGCTCTTGCCACTTTTGTCAAATATTAATTGAGCATATTGCTTTGGGTCCATTTCTGGGTTTTCAGTTCTGTTCCACTGGTCTATCTGCCTGTTCTTGTGCCAGTACTAGGCTGTTTTGATTACAGTCGCTTTGTAGTATAACCTGATATCTGGTATTGTGATCCCACCTACTTTGTTTTTCTTTTTCAAGATTATAGTGGCTATTCGGGGTCTTTTTTGGTTCCATATGAACCTTTGAAGTATTTGTTCTAGTTCTGTGAAATATGTCGTTGGTATTTTGATGGGGATTGCATTGAATCTATAGATTGCTTTGGGTAGTATGAACATTTTAATGATGTTAATTCTTCCAATCCATGAACAGGGTATGTGCTTCCACTTTTTTATATCTTCCTCTATTTCTTTTTTCAATGACCTGTAGTTTTCTGCAAATAGGTCCTCTACTTTTTTGGTTAAGTTTATTCCTAGGTATCTTAATTTTTTTTGGCGCAATGGTAAATGGGATTGTTTTTTCAGTTTCTCTTTCTGTGAGTTCATCATTGGTGTACAAGAATGCCGTCGATTTCTTGACGTTAATTTTGTATCCTGCTATTTTGCCAAATTCATTTATTAAGTCTAGTAGATTTTTGATGGAGTCTTTAGGGTTTTCTATGTATAATATCATGTCATCTGCAAATAATGACAGTTTCACTTCCTCCTTTCCAATTTGGATCCCTTTTATTTTTTCCTCCTGTCTGATTGCTGTGGCTAAGACTTCCAGTACTATGTTAAATAAGAGTGGCGAATGTGGACATCCCTGTCTTGTTCCTGTTCTTAATGGAAATGTGTTTAGTTTCTGTCCATTGAGTATGATGTTGGTTGTAGGTCTTTCATATATGGCCTTTATTATGTCAAGATATGATCCCTCTATTCCCACATTGCTGAGCGTTTTTATCAGAAATGGATGCTGGATTTTGTCTAATGCTTTTTCAGCATCTATTGATATGATCATGTGGTTTTTATGCCTTTCATTACTTTGTAAACTTCATGCACTTCCTTTTGGCCTGCAGTGTTTCTATTGTGATATCAGCTGACAGTCTAATGAAAGATGACTTGTAGGTAACTTTCTGTCTCTCTCTTGCTTTTTTAAGATTCTTTCTTTGTCTTTAATGTTTGCCATTTTCATTATGATATATCTAACTGTTGGTCTTTTGAGTTTTTTTGTGCTTAGAGCTCTCTGTGTTTCCTAAACTTGTGTGACTTTTTCCTTCACCAAATTAGGATAGTTTTCTATTGTTATTTCTTCATACAGGTTCTCTATTCCTTTCTCTGATTCTTCTCCTTCTGGTACTCCAGTAACAGAAATGTCGTTAGGTTTTATATTGTCCCAAACTTCCCTTGAACTCTCCTCCTGCTTTTTAAATTTTTTTCCCCATTTCTGCTCTATTTGGGTGGGGGTTTTTATTTGTTTGTTTGGTTGTTTGTTTGGCCTTGTATTCTAAATCACTGGTTCTGTCTTCAACATCTAATCTACTATTAAATCATTCTAAGGCATCTTTCAGGTCAACTATATCATTCTATATTTCTTCTTGATTTTTATGTGTAGCTTCTACCTCATTTTGAAACTGCTGTAATTATCACTGACCTCTTTTTCTTTTATTAATTTATTTTTTTGTTACAGATGTTTCTCCTTTTCCCCCCACTGATACCCCCTCCCCACACCTCCCTGCCCTGTCCCCAGCTTTGTTGTCCATTTCCATTATTTATGCATACATGCATATAAGTTCCTATATAAGTGGTTTATATCTCCCCTACCACTCCCTCTTCAGGGGATTGTCACACTGTACCCCACGGCCACGTCTCTGGAACTACCTCAGTTCCTCAGATTGTTATGTTCATTATATTTTACAAATAAGTAAGATCATATGATACTTGTCTTTGTCTGTTTGGATTGTTTTGCTTAGGATAATATTTCAAAGTCCCTCCATGTCACCTAAAAGGATAAGAGATCTTTTTTTTCTTACAACTGCATAGTACTCCATTGTGTATATGTACCACCGCTTTTTCATCCATTCATTTACTGATGAACATTTGGGCTGTTTCCAGATGTTACCTATTGTAAATAGTGCTGCTACAAACATGGGGGTACATATATTCTTCCTGATTGGTGTTTCAGACTTCTTAGGGTATATTCCT